ATTGTAGCTTTCAAAATGGCATATGTAAGAGGTCTTTGGAAAATAAAAGTTCATAAAAAATGCATACTTTGAAAAAACTATACATGGATTTCAGATTCGATTCTTTTCACAAAACTAAACCTGTCTTTAATTCCATAACTTTGTTTTTATTATTTAACTTATTTATTAATTAATTTATTTTTTATTTTGCTATAGGACACAAGTGCTCACCGGAGAGTGACAGATGAGAGAGAGAAAGTGAGAAAGCGTACTGCCAAGGGACTGGAACCACAGTCAGCCTTGTGGCAGTCCAGTTTCTTAACCACCACGCCACCAGCTGGCCCATCTCCAAACTTTCTTGAAGTCTCTTTGTATTTCTGTATTAATACAGCATTTCCCAATAAACCTTAGAAATACCTTAGAAAATTATCTTTTTTAATGTACTTAAAGGGAGCTATAGAGTAAAAGAGAACTACTGGTGAAATAATCCTCTCTTGATCCAATTGTTTTTTTCCCTAATGCCTCATGAAAATATTTCTTTGTCATCTTCTGCCTGGAATATCCTTCCAGTCTATTTTAATTGGCTTAACTCCTAACTCACTCTTCCAGGGACTACTCAGTCTCCCTCACAGAATCACAGAATGTAAGGGACAAAAGGGCCTTATAAATCTACTGAATCTTAGTGTTTTCACTACGCTAATGAAGAAACTAAAGATCAGAGAGTTTCAGAGAATGACCTGTTCAAGCTCATACCCAGAGCTTGTAGCAAAGCTGAAATTTGAACCATTTCTTCAAATTCCACTAGATAGGCTCATTTCATGAGACTCATTAGTTCCATAGGTAATTATTATTTATGGAATTTAATACTCTACTAAGTAAACTTTTAAGATAGCTTATTGAGTGTAAGGTCCACAATAGGAGCCAGCCTACAACTTGACTTGTTAGCTTGAGTCAAGTACCTACAACTCCCTGATTACACAAGTAGAGATTACAGCAGAGAAACATTCCATTCAAAGGAAACCACATAAATGATGCTTCAGAGGAGAAAAGTGGCATAGGAGTTACAGGAAACTGTAAGTTCAGTTTGCTAAAGCACAACTGCAAAGCAAAAGAGAAATGAAACAGAGTTGAAAGCAGAGCCCAGACTGAAGAAATCTTTGTGCATATTAAGGAAGCTGAACTAACAGAGTTGAAAGCAGAGCCCAGACTGAAGAAATCTTTGTGCATATTAAGGAAGCTGAACTTTATCTGGTGGGCAATGAAGATCCAAGGCAGGGCTTTCCTAGGGAAATGACAAAGTATGTAATTTTAGGAAGATCACTTTGAGGATCACATGAAGAAAAAATATTTGTGATATACATTACAGGCAGAGAATCTAGTTAAGAATCTATAGCAGAAGGGTTTGCAGGTGCATAGTAGTTAAGGTGCTGGACTCCCAGGACTCCCACAAGGCCAACTATGGTTTGAGTCCCAGATCCGGCTGCTTAAGATTCACACTAGGAACATGTGCATACATGTCCAAAATCCAAGAGGAGAATGGAGGAAGAGACTGCAATGTGGCCATCTCAATGGGGGGTGATTTCTCACTTTCCCTTTCACTGTCTCTCTCCAGTGAGCACACATACCCTATAGCAAAACCTTTAAAAAAAAAATCTCTAATAGAGATGATAAGGGCCTATAAGAAATGACATAATAGGTCAACAAATAAGCAGCAAAATCAGGAGGACTAGAAACAAAATGTGAGTGAGGTGAAAACATAAAGGAAAAGAACAGGCATGGAACAGATCTAGGTTTCTGCTCAGGAAAAGACAAAGCTGAGATACTAAATATAAAGAAAGAAAAAACAGTATCTTCAGTTCAGCTTAGGCAATGTCAAGTCCAAAAAAATACCTAGGTAGAAACATTTGGCAGTCAATGACTATAGTAACCTAATATCCAGGAGAGTGGCCTGGTCTGAAAAGGTGTGAGTGTTATGTATTCCTATATGGCTGACTGTGGTTCAAGTTCTGGTCCTGGTGGCTTGCTTTCTCACTTCCCTCCACCACTCTCACTGGTCAAATTAAAAATAATAATACATAAAAGTTAAATAATTCTTTAGAAGGAAAAAAGAAAAATAAGGAACTCAAATTGTAGCTTTCAAAATGGCATATGTAAGAGGTCTTTGGAAAATAAAAGTTCATAAAAAATGCATACTTTGAAAAAACTATACATGGATTTCAGATTCGATTCTTTTCACAAAACTAAACCTGTCTTTAATTCCATAACTTTGTTTTTATTATTTAACTTATTTATTAATTAATTTATTTTTTATTTTGCTATAGGACACAAGTGCTCACCGGAGAGTGACAGATGAGAGAGAGAAAGTGAGAAAGCGTACTGCCAAGGGACTGGAACCACAGTCAGCCTTGTGGCAGTCCAGTTTCTTAACCACCACGCCACCAGCTGGCCCATCTCCAAACTTTCTTGAAGTCTCTTTGTATTTCTGTATTAATACAGCATTTCCCAATAAACCTTAGAAATACCTTAGAAAATTATCTTTTTTAATGTACTTAAAGGGAGCTATAGAGTAAAAGAGAACTACTGGTGAAATAATCCTCTCTTGATCCAATTGTTTTTTTCCCTAATGCCTCATGAAAATATTTCTTTGTCATCTTCTGCCTGGAATATCCTTCCAGTCTATTTTAATTGGCTTAACTCCTAACTCACTCTTCCAGGGACTACTCAGTCTCCCTCACAGAATCACAGAATGTAAGGGACAAAAGGGCCTTATAAATCTACTGAATCTTAGTGTTTTCACTACGCTAATGAAGAAACTAAAGATCAGAGAGTTTCAGAGAATGACCTGTTCAAGCTCATACCCAGAGCTTGTAGCAAAGCTGAAATTTGAACCATTTCTTCAAATTCCACTAGATAGGCTCATTTCATGAGACTCATTAGTTCCATAGGTAATTATTATTTATGGAATTTAATACTCTACTAAGTAAACTTTTAAGATAGCTTATTGAGTGTAAGGTCCACAATAGGAGCCAGCCTACAACTTGACTTGTTAGCTTGAGTCAAGTACCTACAACTCCCTGATTACACAAGTAGAGATTACAGATGTCAACTAATATTTATTTCATGAATAAGCTGACTGTCAGTCACTGAACAGGATCTCTCCCCAAGAGTGCAGCATCTATTTCAGCCGCTGCCAGTGGAAGTGTTGGAGCAGATGTTGGCAGACTCTGACATACAATGCGTCTTTAAAACTTGTTGGGGTGTGAAATTTCATAAGGTCAAAAAATGCTGCATTTTGATCATCAAATACAGGAAATCTGTACTTTCATAAATGATTTCAGACAAACCAACAGCATTTTCCAGTAAAACAGACAAACTGAAAGACTCCACTGGCTTTAGGTGAGACATGATAATGTATGCTGCCAATGTTTTAAAAGCCAATTTCAATTAAAAGCAAATATTCACCCAAAATATCTTTAAAATGAAAATATGCAATGACAATACAAAATACAAGATATCATTTGAATAGACAATAGGATTTTAAAGATCATTTTCTACTAAAAGAAAACTAATACTACCTAGTGAGTATTTTAGTGAGGAAGATGTTTTCCTTAAGTAACACATACATGTTAGGGGTCTCTCTCTCTCCTTTAAAAAAATAAAATAAAAAAATCCTTACATAAAAATCATTGATATAGAGAGGTGACTCTTTGTTTCATATAGGTAGTATCTTCATTATTTTGAGAACTTTCCAAATTGTTTGGTTTATGGTTTTATCTTTTTAAAACAGAAAATGAAATAAACAGTAGCCATTCTAATTTACTGAGAAAGGCTAGCCTAAACAAAATAATAAAGATTTTTTAAAAAAGAGATTTTTATAATGGTAAAATGAATATTAATGCATTCAAGGATTTGGGGGCTTTTTGTGGAATTTCTGTTATTTTATTGTACTTTTTAGCTTCAATCTTCCCTCACAAATTTTACAGATGTGGCTAACAGATAACACACATCTAAAATCAGTATTAAGGATAGTATGTAGTTAAATATTTTACTGCAGTGATACACACTGCAGCCCAGCTCTGATGAACATTTGCCTTTTAGAATGCTTATTTTGAATTTACAGAGAAAGACTCACTGATTACTACGTAAGTTTGAACAGTCTAAAAACCCTGATAACAGCAATCACCATCACCATTATCATCATCATCTGTCCATTTATTTTGTGCTATGTTCAAGCAAATACAAAACCTAAATAAGTTGTAAACATTTTGTTGGATATTTATAAGAAAAACTTAACTGCCAATTCTCCCCAGGAAATCATTTCTAATGTAAATAATTTGTTTCTCATTATATAATCAATCAAAAGAGTTAAAATTACAATGGAACATGCAGATTAGAAATGCACTAATCACTACAACATCACACAATCAAGTTCAATCTATCCACCAAGTTCAAAGGTCTTCGTTTACATTTTATAAACAAAAACTTGGGACCAGCAGTTGGTGTAATAGCTATGTCACTGGACTCCCATGTAGTCGACCGTGGTTCGGGTCCTGGACCTGGGGGCTTAAACTCAAGCCCGGCACATGTGCGTGCATTCCCAAGATCCCAAAAGGAGAATGGAGGAGAAGGAATTTCAGCGTGGTCATCCCCCCAGGGGAGGTGATTTCTCACTTTCTGTCCATCTCTCTTTCTGGCAAGTGCATGTGCCCTATAGCAAAAACCTCTCTAAATAAATAAACAAACAAACAAACATTAAGGTGCTTACTTAGACAATTACATTTATCATGTTCAAGTTCTAAATATGAAGTAATTAAGCTATATTGTATGGTTCAACACCACATACTATCAATAGTCCTACACTAAGGTACTGAAATTTTATCAAAGCTGAAAATTACTCTATTAACTATAAACCCAAACTTTTTCACTGGCTTCTCATATCCTAAAATATGGGACATATCCTAAGATAGGCAGTCATACAAATAAACAAATACACGGTGAATCAATAATTATAATTAACTTACTTGCCACTGAAAAGTTGTTGAGGGGATAAGGTAAATCCACATCTTGAGGTTTTTCTTTATATCCTATGAATGAGCCATCTGTCTTCAAAAGGAAATATCTCGGTCTCCAATTTTTTATATATTCTCCTACATGAGGAAAGCATGCATGTTAATGCTGAAAAAAATGAACAGCAACTATTATGCAAAAAAATAAATTACAGTACAATATCTGTCCTACAACACTGGCCTCAAAAAATTTAGTTAGGCAATTTTCTTTTAACTTAGCTTACAAAAGAAAACACATAAGCCTACAATTAAGATTCAATAAAAACCCAAACATGTTTTGTTTTTAATGATTTCACACTTTGATAATTCATTTGCACCATTATTCCTTCAGAGAATCATTCATCTGAGTACACATTTTGTTCAGTTTTTCATTTTATCAGATGGGTGTTAGAGCATATTTTCAGCTGTTTTAAAAAGCCTTAGTAAATCCTCCACACTATCTATGTATGCCAATGAAAAGTCACTTATCCTGAGAGTGATGTATAATAGATGTTCCTCTTCCATGTACCACTGATAAATTGTGTCATTAAAAAAAAAAAAAATGGGGGCCGGCAGGTGGTGCAGTGATTAAGGGTGCTGGAATCCCACATGGCTGACTATGGTTCAAGTCCCGGACCTGGTGGCTTGCTTTCCCCCTCCTCTCTCTCGCTCTGTCCCTATCTGGTCAAATTAAAATAAAAACATAAAGTTAAATAAAATAAATCTTTTAAGAAAAAGGAAAAAAGTTTATTTTATTTGTTAAATCTTGATTATAACTTAAACATTTAATTGTTCTTCGTAGGAAAATAATCTTTGATCACTGCTATAAATAAATCCAAAAAACAGGGGAGAATGGGTTAAGAGGTCTTAAAACCACATACAAACTCACACACTCATAATAACTGTTAAAAAAAAAAAAACATGGATCCAGGTAAGCTGGTGTGGTGGTTAAGGTGGCTGGATCCCACATGATCAACTGGAGTTGGAGTCCCAGACTTGGAGGCTTGAAAAATATGCCTGGCACATGTGCTTGTGTGCCCAAAATCCCGAGGAAAATGGAGGAGAAGGGATTGTGGTGTGGTCATCCCCCCGAGGGACAATTTCTCATTTTCCCTCTCTTTCTGTCTGTCTCTCTCCTGGTGAGTACATGTGTTTTATAGAAAAAAAAAAAAAAAGAACAGCAACAAACAGCAGCAAAAACAACTGCTACAGTGCCAAACACATAATAGTCAAAAAATGCATACTTTGTTCAAGTCTGATACATTATTACATTAGAGGTTGATATTCCCCAGAAACCAAAATGTCCATTTTTAGACACTAGAACATCATTTGTTCACCTAGTAAATGATTCTTCCTAATTTAGGCAATAGAAATGCTCCATGACACCAGAAGAGCTGAAAGGCTGTCTAGTCCCATTTTTTGTTTCTCTCCTTGATAGTTCATATGGTTATTAAATCTCAAGTGCTTAATTCCAGAGTTATAAAAACTGAAAACAGTTCAATTTTCCCTAAAAATTAGCTTATTTTTTGACCCAGACTCAAATGTGTCATACACACATACACATACACACACTTTAATTTTACCACTTTCCTGCTCAAAAACGTTCTAAAATTCCTTACTATTTATGATAAAGTCCGAGTTCCTTGTCATAAAAGGTAAAGTGCAAGTCTTTTCTGTTTCTTTTCTTTTTTCTTTTCTTTTTTTTTTTTTTTTTAATGTTTTTGCCATAGGGTGTATGTGCTCACAGGAGAGAGACAGTGAGAGGGAAAGTGACAGATCACCTCCCAAGGAGGATAGCCACACTGGAATCCCTTCTCCTCCATTTTCTCAGGATTCGAGGCATGTATGTACACACATACCTGGTGTGATTTTTCAAGCCTCTGGGATTCAAACTATCATCAGCTATGTGGGAATCCAGCACCTTCACCACTAGTCCACCTGCTGGCCTAAAGTACAAATCTTTTACCATAAAATGTAATCTTATGTACTTCAACATGCGTTTCAGATGAGGAATCATTCTTCTGAATTAGCAATTATCAAAATCATCTCAGTATACCTTTAACCTTTAACATTACTGAGAATCCCAGTGAGTCTGTTCATATAGATTATATCTACAATGTTTACTATATTAAAAGGTGAAAAATAAAAGGTTTGGCTGGCCTATAGCCTAGTAGTTAAGGGAGCTAGATTCCACATGGCCAACCACAGTTTGGATCCTGGCTCCGATGGCATGAAAAACATGTAAGGCGCATGCACATGCATGCCCCAAATCCCACCAGGACAGAGAAATGGAGGAGGGATTGCAGCAAGACCACATGCCATTAGGGAATGCCTTCTTCCTCTGTCTCTTGTTCTCTGGCAAACACACAGGCTGTTTGGCAATTTAAAAAAAGAAAGAAAAGAAAAAGTTTTAGTAATTTTTTGCATTACTTCCTTTAAAGGTAACAATAAACTTACTACATATAACATTTTTATAAAAGAATAACTTTTCTAAAACATTGAGAAAAGCAGCACTGCAAATCTCTCAACATCGGACTTAATAGCACATGGCAGGATTCTCTTATCTACTGTTGGATTCCATGTCCTGTAATATGTTGTTTAATTTGAATAGGGGGGATAAATATGTCTCAGATATATAGCTACAGAAGAAAAGAACATTGAGATAGCTACAGAAATCATTCTTTGATACACCACCAAAAATTCAACAAGAGATGTTTCTAAAATGTTAGTTGTAACATAGAATTTGAAAACTTACCAATGAATTTTCTATGTATCTACTCTCTTATGTGAAAATTCACTTACATAAAATGCACTTAGAATAGATCTTTTACACTGGCATGATTTTGTAACATCATGAATTGATCACATGGAAAACACTGGCTTATCAAATTATGTACATTATATTATACAATCATATTAATTATCACTACCAATCTCATCAGAAAAAAAAAGGAAAACAAACATGGAAATGTAGTCAAGTTCCTGAATAGCAGACATGTTTTCCAAAATTCGAACTTGAGTAAAAGCTCAATTTTCATCATTCCCAGTAAATAATTTTTGTTCCTTGTAACAATATACTCTATGTGCTCAACCTAGTCTCTACCACTTAATCAATGTTCAGTACTAAGTTATTAAATGAATAGAAATATATACGTATGTGTGTGTGTGTGTGTGTGTGTGTGTGTGTGTGTATGTTTATGAACATCTTCCTCATGAGTATACAAGTGCATAATCGAAACTTAGAGGAAAAAAAGAAACAAACAAACACACACACACACACACACAAAAAAAAAACTACAAAAAACCTGATGCTCCAACCCTTCTCTTGATAGGGGGAAAAAAAAAAAAAATAACCAAACAAAAAAAAAAAACCACCCTAATTTCAACAAACATGACTTAGACCAAATTTACAATACCACAATGTTTAAATTTACATTCACACTTAAGAAATCAGAAGTTACTAAAATAAATAAATAAATAAATAAATAAATAAATAAATAAATAAAAGAAATCAGAAGTTGCTGTCTTGGTTGCCCTTATTTTTTCATTTTTAGTTATATATTACATACAAAATTTAAAGTCACTAGCTATTAATTCTCTAATGTATTTAAAATTTGAATGTTTTATTTTTCAAGTGCTACTGTTATACAATAAAAGATTTAAATTGGGACAATATTCTATAAGTCTGTCAAGCTAAATATGATAGTTAATAACAATGCCAAGATAAATGAAACAAATTCATTTTTAAAATATAATAGAAGAAAACAAGGTATAACACCATTTCTTCAAATTTTAAGATAGTATTATATATCCTTATTCAAGAAGGGTGGAATTAAAATAAATAAAAATCAAATTTTCATTTCTAAGTATAACTTGCTTTTGGACTCTAAGTATTTAAAATCCTCAGACAAAAGCCAAAAATATCACTTAACAAATCTTACATCTTTCTTATTAAACAAATCTTGGAAAATTTAAAATATTGTATGTGATCTGAGGCAGGACTTTTGGTTGACAAAAAAGTTCTTTAAAAATAAACTCCGCCACTGCTTTAACATTATATCAAGACAGAGATACTCATTGACAGAGAAGAAAAATTGAAAAGCCGAAATTTCTCTTCTTGCTAAAAGAAAAATAAATATTTCTCAGAAAATGTTATTAATAATTGAATTGGTTCCATTAAAATTAAACAACTATACTGTAAGACTAAGCTAGAACTAGTGAATATCAAACTTTCAGTAAATACTCTTGAATCCACTTTGCTTTCTTATCATTTTTCATCTATAATATAAATGGATTTTCCAAGAAGTTGCATAAAACACATTCACTTACTGTAATAGGAGTTGAGAATACAATAGTGGATCAAAAAGGAAATGGGTAGAGGGACCAGCAGTTAGCGTAATGGCTATGTCGCTGGACTCCCATGTAGTCGACCATGGTTTGAGTCCTGGACCCGGTGGCTTAAATTCACACCAGGCAGGTGTGTTTGTGGGCCCAAGATCCCAAGAGGAGAATGGAGGAGAATGGACTGCAGCATGAACATCCCCCCTGGGGGGTGATTTGTCGCTTTCTGTCTCTCTGCCTTTATGGCGAGCGCACATGCCCTATGGCAAAAACCTCTCCAAAAAAAAAAAAAAAGGAAATGGGTAGAGAAGAAGGTATTTTTGACAGGTCTTGTGGTGTGCACATATGTGGTAGAGAAGGGTTAGAGAAACAGTTATTTTAAAAGGGACTTGCTATTGTGATCTTCTGCCCTAGTCGCCTCAGTTATCCAGGCCCACAGGTACATGGTACCCCAACCAGCAAAGAACTGAACCCATCCTTCTCATACAGTCCCAGCCTTGCACAGTGGCACCTTACCCCTTGCACCACTACCTGTGGGCCTATGGGATCCAACTGCTTTACAGCTGAGCCTATAATCAGTCATACACACACACACACACCCATAAACACACACATACTCTCGTATATATGAAATCGAAAGGGAAACATCAAATTAATTTTTTAAAATAAATCAGAAATTGTCTGCAAGAGCAAAAGAGCAAAGCAATTCCTCAAAAAGAGCTTGTCTCTTGGTGATCAATTTATTAGAAGGGTTGGTAAAA